GTGGTAGAAGATGAACTTAGAAAGAAAATAACCAGATTTATATACATGGGCACCAAAAGTATCCACCAGTACTTTTCTGTAACAGTTTATCAAGAGCTACAGGAAAAGCCAGTTTGGGATTTGACTCAGATTTGTGAGCAAAAGGAAGATAATTAGAATTTCAAGTTGGAAAGAAAGTACTTTTGGACCAGGAAAAGACCAAGCAGTTGACATAGTCCTGGCTTGTTGTGACTGATCTGGAGGACACGCGTCTCTGTATCCCAGCAGAGCTGAGAGGAGGCAGATGTCTTTTCCCTGTTTCTTGCAGGTATGGGGGGGTCTCTGTACTTCTGTTCCTTCCCCTGCTTCCCATAGGCCCTTCCACCTCATTCCTGCCTCCCCAGCAGTAAGTCAGCTGCTCTTTTACCACAATAACCACGGCACTTTGGGAGGCTGAGGTGAGTGAATTGCCTGAGCCCGCAGGTTCGAGACCCGCCTGGGCAACTTGACAAGGCCTCATCTCTACAATAAATCAAAAATTAGCCGGGCGTGGGAGCGCGCACCTGTAGTTCCAGCTACTTGGAAGGCTGAGGTGGAAGGATCACCTGTGCACAGCAGGTCGAGGCTGTGGTGGTTGTTAGCATGTCACTCACTGTACTCCAGCCTGGGCAAGAGCGAGACTTCAACTAAAAAAATAAAAATGGCTACTCGGAAGGCTGAGGCGGAAGGATCGCCGGAGCCCAGCAGGTCGAGGCTGCGGTGGCCGGGAGCGGCCGCTGCACTCCAGTCTGGGTGACAGAGTGAGACTCCAACTCAAAACAAAAAACAAAAAACCACAGTCTGGGTTTGCCAAGTCCAAGGCTACATCTGGCCTCCCTCAATCCTATCTCCTTGGGGCCAGGTGGCAGATGTGTTTCGTTGGAGGCTTCCCGGGCGCTTTGACTTCATGTCACCTTTCTTTCTAAGGATGACAGGAGTGCTGTTGTTGCTGATAAGAGAATAAGAGCAGAGCAGGATAGCAGGGCAGATACTCTGTGGAGCGTATCTAAAAGTGGGGCCGGCCCTTTTAGTATTTTCAAACCTTAAAAAAAGTGAACAGAAAAAAATTGTGGCCCTTGCAGGTATTGATGTCAACCTTCAGGATCATCTCAAATCCTGTAACTAGACTGAGGAGAGCAGAGATTGCAAGCACTTCTGCTGCCTGCCAAAAGCAAGCCGGTCTTAACTGGAAGATTCTATCATTCAGAGAAGGGGTCAACACACTTTTTCTCTAAAAGACCAGATGGTAAGTATTTTAGGATTTGCTGGCCAGATGGTCTTTGACACACCACAGCTGTTATATTGCACAAGCAACCCTGGACAAGACATAAAGGAAAGAGCTGTGTGTTCCAGAAAACTACTACAGATGCTGAAATTTGAATTTCAATATAATTTTCACATATTACAAAACTTTTTTGAGTCTGAATCTCACTCTCTTGTCCTGGCTGGAATGTTGTGGCACAATCATGGCTACCACAGCCTCACCTTGCTGGGCTCAAGCCATCCTTCCACCTCAGCCTCCCAAGTAGCTGGAACTGTAGGCACACACCACCACACCCAACTAATTTTATTGACTTATTGTAGAGATGAGGTCTTGCCAAATTGCCCAGGCTGGTCTTGAATCCCTGGGTTCAGGCAATACTCTGGTCTCCACCTCCAAAGTGCTAGGATTACAGGCATGAGCCACTGTGCCCAGCTTATTCTTTGGTTTACAAATGTAAACATAAAATGCATTCTTAGCTCACAGACCATACAAAAACAGGTGGCACTCTGCTTGCTGGATTTGGCCCATGGACCTATACTTTACTGACCCCTAATCTACAGCTTCAAGTTTTTTCCTACACATTTTTATACAAAACAACACAAGTATAACTTTAAAATAAATCCTAAAGGCTGGCGCGGTGGCTTACGCCTATCATCCCAGCACTTTGGGAGGCTGAAGTGAGAGGACTGCCTGAGCAAAGGTTTCAAGACCAGCCTGGGCAACTTGGCAAGACCTTGCCTCCACAATAAATAAAAAAATTGCCTGGGCATGGTGGCACATGCCTGTAGTTCCAGCTACTTGGAAGGCTGAAGTAGAAGGATCGCCTGAGTCCAGCAAGTCAAGGCTGCGGTGGCCGTGACTGTGCCACTGCCCTCCAGCCTGAGCGACAGTGAGACTCCAACTAAAATAAATAAATAAATAAATACATCCTAAAGAGTCCACAGGTTAAAACGAGGAAGTCACAGTCGAAATTTGAAAATATTTTGAGTTTAATGAAAATAAAAATGCCACATTATCAAAACTTGTTGGAAACAGCTATAAGCTATGCTTAGGAGAAATATATAGCCTTCAATGTCACTGTCAGAAAAAGAGGGCTGAGAGTCAGTAAACTACACATCTATTTTAAGAAGTTAGGAAAAAAAATAGCAAATTAAATCCTAAGAGTGAAGCCAGAAGGAAATAATGTAACAGTAGAATTAGTAAAGGGACAAGAATGCCAGTTAGATTGTATGTGGAAAAGGCAAAACTTTTAGAATAAAGCAGAGTAATTCATACCTGGAGGAGAGGGAGGAGGAGGAAGGGGGGAGGGAGAGGAGAAGAGGAAGGAGTCGAGAAGAACAAAGCATTCCTAAACTTGAAAATCAGCCACAGCCAGCTCAGTGACTCAGCCTGTAATCCCGCACCTTGGGAGGTTGAGGTGAGTGGATTGCCTGAGCCTGCAGGTTCGAGACCCGCCTGGGCAACTTGGCGAGACCTCATCTCTACAATAAATCAAAAAAGTTGCCAGGTGTGGTAGCACACGCCTGTAGTTTCAGCTACTCGGAAGGATCGCCGGAGCCCAGCAGGTCGAGGCTGCGGTGGCCGTCGAGGCTGCGGTGGCCGGGAGTGGCCACTGCACCCCAGTCTTGGTGACGGAGTGAGACTCCAACTCAAAAAAAAAAAAAAGAAAATCAGCCACAATTTCCAAAATGTAGGAACTAAACTTCATTTTTTTCTTGTGAAAACTACCATTGGAACACAGATCCCTTAAGAACTTAGAACCATTGTTTGTAATCATTTTGGAGGGACTATCCCAATTCTTTTACAATCTTATAACAGTGGATGTGAAATTAGATTCATATGAAAAAACCCTCTCAGTAAATTTTAGTAAAATAATGACATTACCTCATAAGTTTTATTTTGTAAGGCAGTAAAACCTCAAAAATGCCATCTAGAACAAAGAGTGTAACTTATCTGAACTTGCCAATCAGATTTTGAAATGGAGGCACAGAACATTACGGTGGCTCCAGAAATATCTCTAAGTGGATTAAAAAAACCATCACTAGAATTTAAAAATCAAAATGTTCTGCTATAGTGTAATGCTATTTGCTCTAAGCATTCTTTAACGTCATAGTTGATAGCTCAGATATGCTACTGCAGAAGCTACTCAGTGATTCATTTCAATGGCACTACTTTTATTAAAATCTTATTTTAAAATTTCTAAGCTGATATCATCACAGCAAGTTTTAAAAAGTGTTAACTAGTCATATATAAAATACATGTGATACTGCCCTGCATTGGCTAGTTTAAAAAAAATTCTTTCATGCACTAAAAAAGTCCATTGCATTGAAGTGCCATAACAATTTCACCAAAAGAATTAGATGATGTGATTTAAAGAATGCTGATCAAGAATGTAATTTTAAGCAAATTCTTTTGCACATAAATGCTATGGGAGTAGGGGACAAAAACAAACTGGAATTATCTTTTAGAAGGCGGGCCCCTTGTAGTACAGGCTTCCCCCTTGAGGTAAGTGCCCCAGGAACCCATCAGCAACTGGGTGCAGTGGCTCACGCCTGTCATCCCAGCACTTTGGGAGGCGGAGCGAGAGGATTGCCTGAGCTCAGGGGTTCAAGACCAGCCTGGGCAACTTGGTGAGACCTAGTCTCTACAATAAGTAAAAAAGATGAGCCCGGTGTGGTGGTGCATGCCTGTGATTCCAGCTGCTTGGAAGGCTGAAGTGGAAGGATCGCCTGAGTCCAGCGAGTCAAGGCTGCAGTGGCCATAAGCGCGCCACTGCATTCCAGCCTGGGCGACAGAGTGAGACTGTGACTCAAAAAAAAAATTAATTAATTAATCAATAAAGGGAACCCACTGGCCTCAGTATGCCAGGTAGCGTTGTAAGAGGCTGTGTTCGGCTTCAGGGACCTCTTCGGGGGGAGATTCTTTCAACACGCGTGCCCATCTCACGACGGGCGACTTGCAAGCGCACCTGCCCGCACTGTGCCGAGTGTTCAGCGGTTTGAGCCAAAGTGGCATGACGCCCCCCCCCCGTCTTCATCCCGTCTCGCCCTGAGCAGTTTTGTTTGTTTGCTTCCCCGGGCCAAGACCGTTTTCAAGGGAAATGTTTTGCTGTCGATGCGAAGGTAAAACCAAAAATGGCAGAAGCCCCAAAAGGCTTCAAAATTGATGAGTTCAAAAACAGAGCACTGAGTCAGAGAGTACTCTGAAGGTGACTGAAGTTTAGATATGTAAGAATAAATACACAATTTTTTTTTGAGTCGGAGTCTCCCTCTGCCGCCCAGACTGGAGGGCAGCGGCCGCTCCCGGCCCCCGCAGCCTCGACCCGCCGGCTCCGGCGATGCTTCCGCCTCGGCCTTCCGAGCAGCCGGAACTACGGCGCGCTACCACGCCCGGCTGATTTTTGATGTATGGTCGAGATGAGGGCTCGCCAAGTTGCCCAGGCGGCTCTCGAACCCGCGGGCTCAGGCCATCCACTCAGCTCAGCCTCCCAAGGCGCGGGATGACAGGCTGAGCCGCCGAGCCCGGCTAGGAACAAATACACAATTTTTAATAAATAATTTCTAGGTTTCCCCCCATACTTTCAAAGATATAAATCGTTGATACTGTTCTTCCAACTTCATTCTCACTAAGTCTTGTCAGGAACATAAGAGTTGTTACTCTAATATTCAAAATAACAACAAGATAATGCATTTTAGAGATAAACATAGGATCAACTCAGTTATCTTTAATGCTTTTATTTCTTTACTATGCCAAGCTAGTTCTTCATGTCTAAAACATATTACAATGGACTAGGAAATTTAAAAGGATGTTGGTTTTAAGTTTCTTATTCCTCTTTACTCATGGAAATAATTAACCATTAAGCACATTTTCTAGGATGGTATACAAGGTTAAGACTTTGGCATTTAAGATATTAAATTTTTAAAACGAATTTAGCTATTAAAATATGATAAGTTCGCATCTTCAACTTTATATTGGTCTTAATATATTTCCTAGTAGGCAATACTTGAACCTGAAGATGAGAAGCACAAGCATACCCATCACAATCACCTTTTTAAAGTTAGGTATCCGTTTTGGACACTTGGTTTGATGGGTTGAAAACAACTGCATTACACCATAGTTATAAGCAAACCCGTACACTTTATTTGAAGAAAGCAGCTTTTTAGGGAGATTGAGAAAGGAAGCAGAGGGTGTATGAAATAACAGCTGCTGCCTAAGAAATAATTTTAATAGTTGAAAATTTTCATAGAATCTTCCTAAAAAGGATTAGACATTAGTGTAACATTTGAAAGAGATGAAAATAACTCAGGAATCTGGCTTAATAACTAGGCCTCAGATCACTACTTTCTTGTTATTGATGTAAACCTTTAACGTACATACATTAATTAAGTCAACCTAATATCAAATCAGGTGATAGACAGATCATCCTTTACATTTTTACGCTCTTGAAAATGAAGAATAATATGCTTATGATTTTTTTCATTAACATGGCCCCAAGTCATAATAACTTCAAAGTTCCTTGACGTGTATCAAGAACACCACCTTTTCAACTCCTGTCTGTTTATATTCATCAATATAAGTAACCATAACAAAATTATAAATTGTTTTAAAAAGATCGTTGCTCTTCCTGACTTTTACTTCAAGTTGGATCCCTGTTATAAGTAATACTTACATGAACTTCCCTTTTTAAAGAGTAAAAACTGAAGACATTAAATTAACATCTAAAATCAAAGTACGCTTTATCTATAAAACTACTGTGTATTGTGGCCTAACACGTGCCAGCAAAGATAATATAAAATGTACTCAGAGACAAATGCCATTATGAATATGAAAGGTTTTATGTGTTTTTTTCCAAACAACTTAAAAAATCATTTTTAAAAACCTGACTAAGTCACTATTGGGCAGACGCTCAAATGCTGAATTTAAAATTTAAAATTCAGCATTACCTTCTCTTTCCTGAAAGATAAGTTGTTATATAAACATTAAAAGTGCAGTAAGTTAAAACAAAATAAAACACAGCCTTGGTTTAGTGTAGCTAAAAGCTTATAAATTCAGCAGGTGTAACAACCTGTTCACCAGAATAGAGCATCGAAATAAACACTAGCCCAAAGAAAGCAGCAGAAGCTCATAGCCATGCTATGGCCCCAAGAATGTCCTTAACTTCCCTGATCCCAGACTTCACATGCCCTCTCCTAAACAACATCTGCTAATACACACTAAAACCAAGAAATATTGAATTGACGTTTAGCAAAATGCACTTTGGCTTACTTCTATAGGTATTAAGAAAAAAGAAGTTCAGCACACATGATAGAGAATTTGAGCACCAAAACATTAAAAAACAAATCTTATGTGGCTACAGATAAAAAACTCATATTGGAAAAAGAAAGATTTGTCATTTAACATGGAAATGTTCCAATTCTAAGGGTAAACTGAAAAGACTAGTAATTAAAAACAGTGGTAACTATGAGATCTCATATTTTGTTATATAAGAGCCTGTATTCGAATTTCAAAAGTCAACTGTATCACATCCTATCTGCCATGACCAATCCCCTCAACCTTACTAGGTCTTTAAGAATAGGACTGTTAAAAGTGATACTTCTAGGATTCAACCAAATAAAGCAAAGCAAGAAAATTAGCTAATATTTAAAGCAGTAGACTCAATAAATGTGTGATTTATTTCCCCTGTTGCTCATAGTTTTCTTTTTCAGCATTTATAAATACTAGCTGGAATTTCTAAAGCATTTCTTATTCTAAGTCTTTCTTATTAACACAATAAATACTAAACCTTCACATACATGCTAACAGTATCACTTAAAACACTGTTTTGACACAGCTCAGGATCTGCTTCTTGGCTCTTCAAGCTGGTGGCACAATTTTACTGATTCAACAAATACTTGTTTTTGATGCAACTGATCTTGTCCTTGGACAAACTATTCACGAGGCAATAGACTGTAGCTCTGAAGCCAACCTCATTTCTTAGAATCATTAACAGGACTTTACCTGAATGTATAAAAACACAAAAAAATAGAGACTTTAAAAGTTAGACTTTCTAGTATTCACAGTTTGAAATGGTTTGGGATGGTTGGTCAAATTTTTAAGCTCTACCTAAGCACACATACATAAACTGGCTACCTCTGGTGAATCACAAGAACTGCCCCAGGATAACCTTCTCTCAAGCTGCCCATCAAATCTAAATCAGCTCCATCAAAACAGATTTCAAGATTTGCTTCATAATAAGAAAGTAATCAACTTATGAGTCATACTTCATAAGTTCTACAGCAAATAAAAAACAAAGTTAGCCAAATTCAGGAGCTAAGCTCATGGTATAAAGCTTACAAGAAATGGAAATAACATAAAGTGATAAAAGTATATAGTGAACATCTTGGGTTCAACATGCAGTGATACTATTATCAGTGTTTTGTAAGCGTGACAACTGAATCAGTTTCTATACTGAAAAAATATACATGCATACTACTCTTTCTCTAATACATATACATCTCATAAATACATCCTCAAAGGAAACACTGATTTTATATTAAATTGTTTTTGACAACAATTTTGCACTGAATAACAATAAATTACAACTCACTGTTGTATACCTTAAATCGCTAAAACAGTATTATAGATGTTTACACAGAGAATTATAGTAATATGCAAGAGCACTTTGATAAAAAGTGGATGAGCAACATTTACAGTAAAAAAAGGTTTTATAACCAAGCTGTACGGACATTAGGAGGTTTAGGTCTTAGCGAGTGGCCACTGGATGTGTCAAAAGCTGATCGCTCACTCTTACAACTGAGCCCACTAGTAGTGCTGGATGTCCTGGAAGCTCCTCCTGAAAATATACAAAGAAATATGCGAATTATTTAAACGAAATGCATAAATCATCATTTGAGAAACTTCTTGTCCTCTGAACTTTTACGTCCAGACAGACTAGTTTTTCTGCCATATCCTACGTACATCTAATAGTTTAATGCAATGATTCCCAACTAGGTATGCACTTCAGAATTCCCATGGAACTTAAAAACATAATAATGTGTTCAGATTCCACATGAGGCAATTTTGATTCACTAGATTTGGAGTGGGAATAAATGTTTTCAAAAGCTTCTAATAATTCAGTGAAATAAAAAACACTTTGCAAAACCATTTATATATTTATTCAACAAATAACTTACTGCATTCAAAGCACAATACACAAGTATGAGTTACTAGAACAAGACCCTATTTTAGTCATTATACCAAGGAAGCAATGTTTGTAGAATGAATAAATGGAATTACTAGTCATTTGAGTGTTTAAGACTCACATGAACATTGGGAAGTTGTGGCATTTATAAGTATTGGCTTCTATTTTCTATGAAGTTTAGAATACATACATCAAGTAACAGCATAGACTTCTATAAAGGAAAATGTTGCATACCCTAGTACTAAATGATCACTCCATTCCTATATTTTCTGAGGCAAACAACTGACTAGGTCTGTAACTGATTACATAGCAGGCATTAAGAGTTATTTTATCTGACAACTCTAATTTTATTTCAGTTATCCAATGAAGAAGAACAAGCGCACATAAGGGCTGGAAGATATTAGCAATTATTCTTGACTAGCTGGAAGAATGTTTCAGCAACTTTTAAATAGCACATATATTCATTTCTACCTTTAATCATTTAATATTGAAATTAAAAGTCCCTCTAAGAAACTACTTTTAATTGTGTTACCTCCTGGTTTTCTTCTTGTGCTGTCACTACATGCTGTAAACGAAACCAAGTACACTAATACAAATAAGACAAAACACACGCAATTGAGAAATAAGAGAACGAACTCCACAAGTTAGCATTTTTAAGCTCTATTAAGAACATGTTTCACTGTAAAAGAAAAAGGTTGAAAGATACAAATAAGTACAACATAGTTGTGAATATGCTCACTTAATGGGCTGTATTGGCCAAGAGTGGATCTCACTCGTCTCGAAGACGGCGTTGAGCTGAGATAGCCCATATTGCGATGATAGTCCATCAGTTGTTCTGAGCGTTTCATGCCAGCTGTTGGTTTCACAGCTTCAAGCCTTTTCAGTAAAGCCTTCATTAAAGACAATTTGAAAGTCAAGGTTAAACAGCAGTAGTTTTTAAAAAGGCAAACACGTTCTAGATCCTGAAATTCAGTCAACGAAGTAGGAAAGTTTTAAATTACTCCTGACATACGAGGGTCAAAAAATACTTCAAATAATGTACTTTCAGAAACATCCAAGAGTTTTTGCCTTTCCTACACTTACCCAAATCACTATGATTTAACAACTCACCCTAGGCATACCTGTCTTGTGCCAGGTTACAATCCTAGAAAAGGTGTTGTAAGCCCAGTTTTCTCATAGGAACCACACAATGGGAGTCATAACGCTAAGACCCTAGAGATGACACAAACCCGTCTAAAAGCCTGTAAATTCTACATACACATATTACAGATCAATGGATTTCAACCTGTTTACTTTGTAGTCCTGCCTCATGGGCTGCAAGGACACTGAGGAAAGGCCCATGGGCAGGGGCCTCAGATTTCCCACCAATTTCTCCCAGCCCAGCTATGTTTTTTGTATTACCTGTTTTATATACTGAAGATTCTGCATAAAATTCACTTTGGAAAAAAAAGTTTTTGCTGTTAAGAAGTTTGAAAACCAGTTACTGTAGATAAAACTTCGAAAAAGATACACAAACCAATTAGCCATGATAACATAGTATCCAATAACATGGTAGTTTCTATGATTCAGTCAGAGTCTAATGAATAATGCTCCTAATTTCATCTGTAATTCTTAAATAAAAAGGTGGAAGAGTTTCTGTTTGCTTTTCACAGGCATCACTGAGAAAGGAATATTTAGGTAGACTACATGGCTTGAGGAACTGATCCATGGTTATGTTTTACTATTTTATTTATTGACTTAAACTTTCTCTGAAGCAAGCTGATCTTATTTGAAAAGGGTGTGCTGGGCCGGGCTCAGTGGCTCAGCCTGTAATCTCGTGTTTTGGGAGGCCAAGGTGAGTGAATTGCCTGAGCCCATGGGTTCGAGACCCGTCTGGGAGACTTGGCGAGACCTCACTTCTACAATAAATCAAAAAATCAGCCGGGCGTGGTAGCACGCGCCTGTAGTTCCGGCTACTAGAAAGGTGAAGGCAGAAGGATCGCCGGAGCCCAGCAGGTCAAGGCAGCGGTGGCTGGGAGCGGCCACTGCAATCCAGTCTGGGCGACAGAGTGAGACTCCAATAAAAAAAAAAAAAAACAAACAGGCATGGTGGCGTGCACCTGTGGCTCCAGCTACTCAGAAGGCTGAGGCAGAAGGATCGCTGGCGCCCAGCAGGTCGAGGCTGCGGTGGCTGGGAGTGGCCACTGCACTCCAGTCTGGCGACAGAGTGAGACTCTGACTCAAGAAAAAGAAAAAAGAAAAGAGTGTGCTGACACGAAAAAAATCTGCCTCTTGCATTCAGTCATAAGAGAAGTTTTCTCAGTACAATCTTTTTTTCTTCTTCCTTTTATTATGGTAAAATATACATAGATTTTACCATTTTAACCATTTTTAAGCACACAGTTCTGTGGCATTTACTACATTCATATGTTGTTAAATAGCACCATGGCTTCCTAAACTTTTCCTCCACTTAGTGTTTGCGCTTACCATTTCACCACTTGCCTTTCTTTCCTGAGGTTTCATTATCACAGCAATTCCAAAGAAGGGATAGACCGGGGAAGAAGAAGCCAAAATATTCAAGGGAGAGTAGCTTAGAAAGTGGAGAGGAGGGTGTGTAGAAAAAAACTGAGGCTTGGAGACAAATGACAGAGGTGCCAAACACACGGAGACCAGCTGGGAGAACTCCCTTACTGCCTGCCTGCTGACATTCCTTTTTTCTCAACTTTTAGCTTTCACTAGCTAGAAAGGAATCAGCTCCTCAATGAAATCTTGCCCATCTAGTGATAGAGGTTCTCTCTGCTGAGCTGAGAGTTATGATATGAAAATGGTTCCACCGACCATAAAGTCTGTGTTCTTTCCATCATAACACATCATCTTTCTCTCTTTGCAGACAGAAACCGTGTAATTTAGGTGCCCAAACCCGCTGGAATTTTATCTGCTTGCAGTTTTTTGTTTTTGTTTTTTGAGTTGGAGTCTCACTCCGTCTCCCAAGCTGGAGTGCAGTAGCATGCTCACAGCCAACCCAAGCGATGACCCGCTGGGCTCCGGCGATCCTTCCGCCTCAGCATCCCAAGTCGCTGGAACTACAGGCGCGCGCTACCACACCTGGCTAATTTTTTGGTTTGTTGTAGAGACGAGGTCTTGCCAAGTTGCCCAGGCTGTTCTCGAACCCATGGGCTCAGGCAGTCTGCTCACTTTGGACTCCCAAAATGCTGGGATTACAGGCTTGAGCCACCGTGCCTGGTCTGCTTGCAGTTTTTAACTGTGCAGGATACTTCCTATGCGTCACATCTTCAATGTATTTTGCGGGCAGAGTGTCATTTGCTATTCTCTCTGATTATCTTATTAATAGTCACTGAGCTGTACAGGGTGGAAAGGACAGAAAACTCGGTATTTCTCAGTTATTTTCTAATTTTGTTTTTTTTGCTGGTAGACATCTCAGTGTTTACTGAACTCCTAATGTCCTAAATTTATTTGGTTGGATGTACATTTTTCTTTTTTAAATTTCAGGAAAATTGCAATTCTAACTCATCAGATATAAAACAATATAAAATAACGTGATCAAAATCAGTTTTGAAATAATTGGACAATAAGGCAAAAAGCAAACCCATTATGCAGTCTGTAATGTCAATTATCAAGTTTACCTGCAGAAACTTAAGGAAATGAGATAAATGATTTGGCTCATGTACTTAGATCACATGGAGCCATACTGTGTGTCTGTCTGAGTGTCATGTGAACATAGCAAGCTAAGCAAAAGTTAAAGGAAAGATTTGAGAAACAGTTAGAAACAACAGTTGCTTATAGTAATAATATCAAAATACCAAGTGTTGATTACAGTGTAAACCCCAAAATCAAAGGTTTATATATTTTAATTTGGTCTTCTACTTAGTAACTCCTAGGGAAAACTTGAAAATGATTAGTTCAAGCCGGGCTCGGTGGCTCAGCCGGTAATCCCACGCCTTTGGGAGGCTGAGGTGAGTGGATTGCCTGAGCCCGCGGGTTCGAGACCCGCCTGGGCAGCGAGACCTCATCTCTAGAATAAATCAAAAAATTAGCCGGTGTGATAGCGTGCGCCTGTAGTTCCAGCTACCTGGAAGGCTGAGGTGGAAGGATCGCCAGAGCCCAGCAGGTTGAGGCTGCGGTGGCCGGGAGCGGCCACTGCACTCCCGTCTGGGCGACAGAGCAAGACTCCAACTCAAAAAAAAAAAAAAGAAAGAAAATGATTAGTTCAAAATGCTGTAACAATTGTAACAGAGTGATAAAAAATGTAAGCTATCTAGTCAAAAAGACCTGGGCTTAAATTTTGGCTCTGCCACTGACTGTGTGTTGGACAAATTCCTTGATAGGGATACTAATAATGAAATAAACTCAGAGTCAGTAGTAAGTAAGATAATGCATATAAGGGGAGTTTAGAACAGTGCCTAGCAACTAGTAAGGACTTATTAAAATTAATGATGCCACTAATATTCCTTCATATTATTTTTTAGTTGTCTGACATGCAATGGTATTATCTTTCCCACTAAGTCATAAATTATATGACAGGGCAGTATTTTTTAATTTTATATTTCTTCTTGACTTATTATATAAGACATAGCAGACATTAACAAATATTTGCCACTCAAATCAGATTGCAATAGTGAATTCCAAATAGTTTTTCCAATTTTACTGGAAATTATATATATTTAAGATAAACAACTTACTTTATATATATGTACATGTATATATGTAGTGAAATGACCACCACAAGCTAGTTAACACATCCATCATCTCACATAGTTACCGTTTTTTTATGTGGGTGGTGAAAACACTTAAAGATCTACCCTCTTAGCAAACTTCAAGTACACAAGGTATAATGCTTCCATTGTGCAAGATGACTAAGTCCTAGATAGGTAATGTACAGCACAGTGACTCTAGTCAACAGTGTATACTTATCCAAATATTTCTTTTACATCCAGGAAGTATCATGCTTTTTGGAAAAAAAAATTAACCTAGCCTGTATCCTGCCCATGTTTCGATGTAGGAAGTCTTTAAACAAATGAATGAACAAATTATGCGTTGAGGATTTCTACAGATGTCAGAAGAGGAGAGTTGCTTTACTGTTTCTAACAAGATGAAGCAAAGACCTAGTAAAGGCATTAAAAGTAGCAACTGTGCTCTACTCAGGGAAGACCAACATGACTACTCTACATTTTTGAATAGCCGGAGTCATGCTTAGTTATCATTAGCTTGCTTTCTTCTATGGAAGGAGATGATAGACCATAACCAGAAAAGGAGGAAAGCCAGATTAAGTAAACTACAGATTACTTCAAGATTTTAGAACCAACGTAGGGATTAGTCATACTAGGTATGAGATTTGCCATAAATCTTCACCTTTGTGACAACATATCATGCTTTTAATTATTCTATATAAGAGGTCTAAAATTACTGATGAAGACTAGGAGACAAAGAACAGAGAGAATTTTAATGGTCATTTAATGTTTTTAAGAACAATCTAAATTTATACATGCCTTTTATTTTAAAAATAATATTTTAATACAGGAACTGTGTCAAACGTTGTCTACTTATTTGTATTTTGCTGAATTTAAAGTTGATTAATGGAGGCCAGGTGTGGTGGCTCAAGCCTATGATCCCAGCACTTTGTGAGGATGAGGCGAGAGGACTGCCTGAGTTCAAGGGTTCAAGACCAGCCTGGGCAACTTGGTGAGATCTCATCTCTACAATAAATTAAAAAATTAGCTGGGCATGGTGGCATGTGCCTGTAGTTCCAAATACTTGGAAGGCTGAGGCAGAAGGTTCACCTGAGTCCAGCAGGTTGAGACTGCGGTGGCCATGAGTGTACCACCGCACTCCAGCCTGAGCAACAGAGTGAGACTCTGACTTTAAAAAAAATTGATTAATGAGCTAGGCGAAATGGCGCACACCTGCAGTTCTAGCTTTTCAGATGGCTGAGGTAGGAGAATCACTTGAGCCCCCTCTAAAAAAACAAAACAACAAATGACTAATGACGGTTATAAATTTATACACACAGATACAATATGTGTATATAAAATCTTAGAAAGTAAAAACGAAGAGATAACTCCTTCTGGGCTCTGCGTTCCAATCCTGATACTAATTTCTGTAGGAATCTTACTTAGTCCTTGAGTTTGCTTTTATTACTTCCTCTCACCCTGCCTGCCTTCTTTCACGCCTGACACACATTTTAAAGAATGAAATGACCTCATTTCTTATTAGAGGGAAAAGTCAAACAATAAACTGTCATTGACTACTCTCTTTCTGCTAAGATTTTTTTAGTAGAATTATGGTAATATGATAATTCATATTATGTTCAAATGAAGATAAAGTTTAGAAAGCACGTTTCAAATTCATGATTTAAAAAAATAGTCTCCTTTTTGTAAATTACAAAGTTATCTAATATAATTGAGGCTCTCTACTGTATGAAATTACTACTGGATAAAAACGCCCTCTACTGGATAAAATTCATTTTTCTTTATAATTTCCTTATTTTTGTTTGGATGTAATGTCTAATGAGAGGAAGGTAATATCTGCCTATTTAAACAAATAATGAGGAAGATCTCAAAACTCAACAAAAGGCATACTGATAGTATGCTTTTAACTCTTGAGCATAGGACTCAATTTTACACAATATCCTTACCTTTCTTCTCTACCTTCTCTGCACAGCACTGAAGTATTTTCCTTTAAATAGCCTCAGAATTGCTAATACACTAATATAAGAGTACAAGAACAAAAACCTTTTAATCATCATACCTGTTAGCTACCTGACCTGGTCCCTGCCACTGGAGATGGAGCAAAGGAAAAAATGCAAATCAGGGCCGGGCACGGTGGCTCATGCCTATAATCCCAGCACTTGGGAGGCTGAGGTGAGAGGGTTGCCTGAGCCCACGAGTTCAAGACCAGCCTGGGCAACTTGGTGAGACCTCATCTCTACAATAAATCAAAAAATTAGCCAGGCATAGTGGTGCATGCTTGTAGTTTCAGCTACTTGGACAACTTAGGCAAAAGAATCACCTGAGCCCAGTAGATTGAGGCTGTGGGAGCCGTGAATGTGCCATTGCACTCCAGCCTGGGTGACAGAGTGAGACTCCAATTAAAAAAAAACCAAAAACAAACCGCAAATTATAAAAATTATAAAGCAATAGCCCTGCTTGTGAAGTGCACTTGACACAGAAATAACTACAAAAGTATGTCTGTGTGTGCACATGCACATGTGCTCTGAAGATACAACCTAGCACACAGATTTAAAAGTATATCAGCTGGGCGCAGTGGTTCATGTCTGTAATCCCAGCACTTTGGGAGGCGGAGGTGAGAGGACTGCCTAAGTCCTTGGGTTCGAGACCAGCCTGGCAAACATGGTGAGACCCTGTTCTACAATAAATTTATAAAAATTAGCTGGGCATGGTGGCCCATGCCTGTAGTTTCAGCTACTTGGAAGGCTAAAGTGGAAGATTCACCTGAGCCCAGCAGGTCAAGGATGCAGTGACCAAGATCATGCCACTGCACTCTAGCCTGGGTGACAGAGTAAGACTCTAACT